TCACGTTTTAGAATCATCTACGAAATTAAAACCGTCGCTACATGTAGCTAGTGTAACTCGTATCATGTATATATTAAAATATAGCGTTAGTTTAAAATACAGTGTTATTTATATATATATATATATATATATATCTTATTAGATGTTTTGGTGTGTAGCATCGCTGTATATTTTTACAAGTTGTGTCGTATTTTGTATTTTGAGTCAAAAATACAAACAACGAGTAAAAATATAAAGCGTTATTTAATATTTTTTTCACGTTAAAACCCTGACTCGCACTGTGACTCGCACGACTCGCTGGCTCGCACACAGGGTAGACCCATACAAGTTTACAGAAGAACAATATTGTAGGGATTTGAGGTAGCGTCAGTCTTGCCCGCGGTGAATAGCGATGCTTCATTTCCCTAGAATTTCGAATAATAATATTGGGTTTAGGAGGGCGCGCGGGCAACGATGGGAAGAGGTAAAGGGCGGGAGCCTCTGCCAAATAATGCATCCAAAATGGCGCCGGATTTCCGAGGGAGACTGGTGCTAGGTCGAATTACTCACCAAATTTTTCGGCTGAACGTGCAGTAGGACAAGAAGAGGAATTGTTCTCTCTTTCCATGCGACCGTTTCAACAGGCGAAACAAAGCGGTAAAACAATATGTTTTAAATGCTTTTTCTTTTCTTTGAAAATTTTTTTCTCGGGGGAGCTGGATTAAGTCAGCATTTTGGTACAATGGATCGTAACGCTGCTGTCGACAAAGTGAAGTATGATCATCGCAGTAAATTTTCCAATTTAAGCAACTGGAAAGAAGAAGCCTGAAAAAAATCAGGGCTTCAACGGGATTCNCTTTCCAGTTGCTTAAATTGGAAAATTTACTGCGATGATCATACTTCACTTTCATCTACTACCGCAGTTCAAATATGAATTATTTCATATATACTTCGCTGCTGTCGACAGTGGGAAATGCAAAGCAGCTTTTCAGGATTGCCACGGCGAGGAAACGGCAAAGGTCATTGAGCAATTAGGCAGACTTCGATTGCAATCGGTTAGTATTCTTTTTTTGTAAAGAAGCGAAAATGATCTATAATACTTTATTAAAACCATCGATTCGGACCGTACACGTGTACTAAAATGCAGATTTGTCTACTTCAGTGCACCAAAGGAGCATAACCACCGAACCGCAAATCTAACGAGCCAACCGCACGAAATATGACAGACGCCTCTCTTCTCCTCTTTTCTCCTCAGAAATCCGGCGCCATTTTGGATACATTATCTGGCAGAGGCTCCCGCCCTTTCCCTATTCGCGTCGTTCCCCGCGCGTCCTCCTAAACCCAATATTATTATTCAATTTCCCCATATAGGGAGCCTCTGCGGAGGAGACAGAGGAATACTTATTTATCAAACGCGGCCTGTTGCTTTTGTTGACCACTTTGTTCTATACAAAAGAGTATCACCAGGAGAACAAGTTTTCTGAAACAAATACAGGGGAACCCCGATACTCCGCTCACCAACGGACCACAAAAATCTGGCCGTATTAACGAGCTGGCTACCCTGGGTACCAGAAGGTTTTTCTCGCGCGCGGCGGACGGCACGAGCGGCGAAGCGCGGGTCACAATAGAGACATAACCGACACCGGAAACCGCGCAAGAAAAACCTCTGACACCCAGGGTACGAGGTGGCTGTGTTAACGGGGTATATAACGCTGTATGTAGGGAGTAGGAGAACCCACACGCGTGACTGTCTGGCGTGTGTGCAAAAGCCCTCAAAGTGCAAATTTGACCCAAGACTTTTGTCCATCACTGTACCAATGCATTATTATTGCACATCAAATGTCTGTTTATATATAATCAATACGATGGTCGATTGAAAGGCTAGCTAGTCTGTAAAATATACAAATAATATTGGATTTATTTCAAACAATGCTCTCATACTCAAAATAAATAACATCAGATGTTAAAATTAAGACATTCAGTTTGTAGATGTTATGCCCAAGTTATGCAAGAGACTTTCAATATTATCAGTCTACTGGATACGGCAGAGTATCCTATACGGAAGAATCTCTACAATTGAAAGGGACATTATAATGAAGAGTTTTCTTCATGTTTGACCGAATCAGTGCTTAAATTATGGCAGAGTATCTTCACTCTTATGCATGAGGAACTCTTTAGATCACTCTTTTTATACTCGCGGTGCATTAAAGTTATTTTAAACAAAACAAATTATATTTAGGTTCCAAACAACGGCGTATAATATTGCCCCATCAATATTTAAAAGCTTACAATAGGCCCATTGCAGCTAAGCCATCACCTGACCTATTTTTTATAAAATTATGGGCTATAACTTAACAAATGCCAGAAATGGAAAAAGCAAGTCGAAAATATCAAAATGGCCAAGTTTGAGGCCCCCATTACTAAAGAATGAGATTTTATGACGGTCTGAATTTTTAAAAGGATAAGAAGATTTGTAACGAAAAAGTTGTTGGAGAGCAAGACCTTGCTCTCCAGCAACATTCTCCATATAAATCCTCTAAGTTTTTTGAAAATTCAAAGTGTTGTATAAACTTACTCTTTAATTCCAGGGACCTCAAACTTGGCCATTTTGGTATTTTCGATGCACTCTTCCATTTCCGGCATTCTTTAAGTTATAGTCCATAATATAAAAATTTTCTAGGAAAAATTTAGTCACGTGACCCCAGCTGCAAAGGGCCTATTATGTTAGTAATGATGATAATAGCCCATTTTACAGTTGTGTGCTTAGTTACCTGGCCTAAGAATGTAAGCGAGGCTGGAGGTGACCTTGCTTTGATACAGACCTCACTGCTTTTCTCATGTAAATGCAAACTAGTTAGCATAAGAACAACTTGATTTACACAACAAAAACAGTGAGGTCTGTATCAAAACAAGGTCACCTGCAGCCTCGCTGCCATTCAAAGGCCAGGTCACTGAACAGACAACTGTAAAATGGTCTATTGTGTTGTGACGAAACATCAAACAGACGACACCAGCGATATTGAAGCCCACTTCCTCTCAAAGAAATTCATCATGGCCCAACAATAGGGAGCTTAAGCAAACCACAACGACGACAGCGCCAAAACGTCACCAAACAAAAGCTTTAATGAGCTAAACAATGGCTATGCACGTGATCAGATCTACACAATTGCGAATTTCACTGGGAAATATGAATTAATTTTTTACTAGGCGTCGTCCTCGGCGTCGCGGTCGTCGTTGCTTGAGGTTCCTATCGCCTAAAATGCGCTCAGAAAACGCTTGCCTGCTGTGTAAAATACCCTACAATCCGCTCCTGTAGTTCCTTAAGACTCCTTGAGTAGTCTCTACAACTAATTTCACTTCTTACTGTTTCTGTGAAGGCCGAGTAATTTGGAAATAAAAGGGTTTTAGTTTTCTTTTTTTAAACAATTCTATGGCCTTACAGTTTTAATAGCGTTAATCAAATATCACCACAGCACCATTACATCCAGGTTCACTGAAGGAGATATAAATTACATCTCTTACAAACTTAATTGAAACGTTTCAAATTGATCACCACATAAAACTCTACACTTTGAGCTCGTTACTTGTACAAAACGTAAATACATGTGATAATGAATACTAAGATGTGTTAAACTTCTGTGCCGGGATAGTTGGACTCGTCAAGCGCAGCTGCAAGCCATCCTGCTAGATTGACCTCTTTGTCTTCAAATCCAAGAATAAAAGGATGTTTCTGTAACCAGGAAATAAGTTTATTTTAAACCATAGCAGAAAATGACGGCAGAGAAAAAATGAATGGTTATTTGTAACTCCCCAGCCGTTGAGGTAACGTGCAGCATCACATGCAGCAACGTCCTGTCAGCGGTCTGTCCTGAGTTTCATGACAGAACACTGTTCAAGCCCGTTTTGGGCAGGGACCAACATTGTCACAACAAAAAGAAACCTACCAGTAAGCTGTTATATTTAGGTCGATATCTGTAGTCTTTTATCAAACTGAAAAAAAGAAATCCTGTTTTGAATATCAAGTTATGCAAGTTTTCTGCAATACTCGTTCCATCACACACTTACTTACCACGTCTTGACAAAAGAGTAGAAGTTCATAGAAAAGCCCTGCCGGGGAAGTAACGGCGGCTCTTCGTTCATGACACGAGACAAAACTTCAAACTCTGTTGTGCAGTTTCTGTAGGGAAACTCCCCAGTAGCGAGTTCAACCTACAAAACAATACGCGGCGTGTCAGGAATCATGGACTATGTTTTGTCTACAGCATGTAACAATTCTCGGTGAAAATAGGTGTGCACCATACACAACTAGAGTTTAAATAGATACCCACAGGAAAAGATACAGAATTGTAGCTCACCAAAGTTATTCCCAGGCTCCACACATCTGCTCTGACATCATAGTCTGGGTTCATAGGATCTGGTGGGTCTATACGCTCAGGCTGAAAAAACATAGCACAGCCATCAATATGGCGAAGTGCAAACACGTGCAATGACTGATTGTGTAAACCATAAGTTCGAAAAAAATTCCCCAGAGCCGGTATTTTCCATAAGTCAAGATGCCAGAATTAAAAAGTTAATCAATAAATTTCTACAGCCTTTTGCTGTTGTTTGTAGAAAGACAATGTCCTACGTGGAAATCCAATATGGCGGCGGCTTAAGATGAATGTGTGTTTTAAGACTTTTATGATGCTTTATTTCGTTAGAAAGCTACACGTTAGAAAACATACTATTTTTGTTTCAAAATCAGCATTATTTTGGCAATTTCCAAAGCTATGACAGGATGATATATATTCGTTCCAATTTACTCCAGACTAAATCGATTGACGTCCGAACGACGAACGGCAAACATGCGGGGAAACACGTAACCTCAAGCCGCAGATACAAGTTTGGGTAACCGTGGATCTAAAGGTCTCTATCATCTCTCAGTTACTACGCGGGCTGTGATTGGTCAATTTAGAGAATCCTTAGCAAGGATTTTGAACTGAATCGTTTTGCTTTTATTGTACCTTAGTCGTTTGAAGCCGTTCCGCGTGATTTCAACCGCCCGTAGAAATATAACAAATATCTTACTAACCTCGTGGTCTCGGTCCGTACTGTAAGTGACGGATCTTCCTTTTTCCGCTTCGATTTATGGCCCAAGCGCCAAGCGTGCGGGCCATAAATCGAAGAGGAAAACACTCGGACCCCGCACTCGGCTAGTGAGAGGTATAGACAGACAGCATATCACTGTGTCCATGTATTTGTTAAATGACTTATCAGACTCACTGCCATATAAGCTGCACATCCCGCACTTCTTGTCTTTGCTTTTGAATCCACTAAACGACCACTAATACCAAAATCGCAGAGTTTGACAGAACCACTATGATCCAACAAAACATTGGATGGCTTAACATCTGACAGAGACAGCAATAATAACAGAATTAATACTAGATGCATGTACATCTCAAGACCTTGCTCACAACTTCTGTGGATCTGCTAGTTTTAAATATACCAAACTTCCAAAAGTTCTAAAAGTAACGACTCTCTTTACTTTCGGATTGAGCAGCTTTTGGGGTTGGTACTATCGGGGGGTCGTTACCGTCGAGGAGCAAAAAACGTTCTATGGAAGTCGGTACGATTGAGCTCTTTTTACGAAATTCGTAAAAACAGTTCCTAAAGCATGAGATCCAGTTTAAATCTATGTTGCTGCCACATGGGTCGGCTCTTCGTGCCTAGACCGTGTTGTCAGTGGTCGGCAGGAAAGCTAGTCAGATGACGCAAACTGTTTGTACTTCGTGACGCACTGCTATGTTAGTCTGCTTTAACAATATCTCAGTGCGTTGGTCAAGTTTTCAATTTAAATTTGAAGAAACGTTCCTTTCTATACGCTCCTGTTGAAAATGATACAAGTTTACTTAAAGAAACGTTCCTGAAAATTCTACGGGTTTCAAAACACGGCGCAACATGAGCTGACGAAGCACGAATTGACACTTCACAACGCTTCGTGGCAAAAACCTTAAATCAAGTGATTGTACGGTAACTTTCACCTGACTATTGACTAGAGCAATGAGTATACTATTGAACCTGGATCTCGCTATTTTCGGGATTGGGGGTGAGCGTACGCTCGCTACTTTCAGGATTTATTGGCGGTCACAATTGTTTGACGTTACTTTCGGGTGCTCGCTTCTTTCGAGGGGTCGTTACTTTCGGAAATTTACGGTAGCCTTTATAATTGAATCATCTATAAATGGAATAGACTGCCATGTCAAGCTAGAGATGCTGATGAAATATCTATTTTTAAAAAAAGGTTAGAAGTTNTACATGTACATGTAGTTATAATGTTATTAACTCACCCTGGATATGAATGATCCCAAACAATTGACAATAAAAGGACAGCCATGACACTTCATCACAACTTCTAGATCCATAAGGATTCTTTTCTGTTCTTCTTTGTTTTGACTTCGACGCATTTTCTACACAGTGCAAATTGAAGTACATGTTTCAAATTTACAGTCCACAAATTTATCTGAGCATCATAAGTCATATGAGTTATGGTATATATAGCAAGCAGTACAACACAAGAGCTGAAGAACAATAATGCAGACCTCTATTTTCACACCACAGAAATCAAAACTTCTGTATGAAAAAAACGTTTTCAGTTTTGATTGAAAAATTACCTCCAGAGTTCAAATCTAACGTTTCATGAGGAAAGACATTCCATAGCTTTGGGGCCATCCAGGAAAATGCACTGTTGGCCAGTGAATTGAATTGTCAATTTCAAAACAACCAAAATGACCATGGGAGCCTGATCATAAGAATTTGCTTTCAGGAATTGTTCTATCGAGAGGGAGCTTATGACAGCTCCAACCACTGACCATTTAAATGGTCTTGTTCTGGAATATCTCAAGTCTAAATTTATAAAGCGAAATGAGTCAAGCTATTCTCCGAGGGACTCTGTAGGTAAACTTGTTGTCCCCTTTCCAAGAACTAACTACATGAAAAATAGTTTTAGTTACAGCAGCGCTACCCTTTNATTGAAGTACATGTTTCAAATTTACAGTCCACAAATTTATCTGAGCATCATAAGTCATATGAGTTATGGTATATATAGCAAGCAGTACAACACAAGAGCTGAAGAACAATAATGCAGACCACTATTTTCACACCACCGTAATCAAAATTTCTGTATGAAAAAAACATTTTCAGTTTTGATTGAAAAAATACCTCCAGAGTTCAAATCTAACGTTTCATGAAGAAAGACATTCCATAGCTTTGGGGCCATCCAGGAAAATGCACTCTTGCCCAGTGAATTGAATTGTCAATTTCAAAACAACCGAAATGACCATGGGAGCCTGATCATAAGAATTTGGTTTCAGGAATTGTTCTATCAAGAGGGAGCTTATGACAGCTCCAACCACTGACCATTTAAACGGTCTTGTTCTGGAATATCTCACGTCTAAATTTATAAAGCGAAATGAATCAAGCTATTCTCCGAGGGACTCGGTAAGCAAACTTGTTGTCCCCTTTCCAAGAACTAACTACATGAAAAATGGTTTTAGTTACAGCAGCGCTACCCTTTGGAACAGCTTACCCTGTAACATTAGGGAGTCTGGTTCATTGGACAAATTTAAACGCCTTCTCTACCATAATTTTTAAACACGGCATTCATGGAAACCAGGATTTTTCTTAAGTGGCATATTAATGTAAGTTAATATAGTGTTAGAATTTGGATTTTTAGTCATTATTATCTAATTTTTTCTACCTGATGTTTTTACCATGTATAAATAATGATTAAAGAAAGATTAAAGATTTGATTTTACATATTTGCTCTGCCCCAGATCCCTTTTTTGTGGTCAAGTAGAGGTACAGTGTATACCTCAACTGGGCATAGAAAATAGGACATTTATCAAAATCCAAAATCTTTGAAGAGAAATTTTCAACAATTAAAAGTAAGATGAAATTTGTCAGGCCCAAAACATTTTTGGGGTTAGAGTTAAACTTGCCTTGACTGCCAACACATGTCCTGTTTGCTTGTGCTTCATCTTGCACACTTGACCACATGTTCCACTTCCAATTTCTTGAACACTCTCCAGGTCATCAATAGTAAAGTCAAAGCTCTGATCAAAACACACACAAAATTCTCATCATATAAAGTTTTCTTAAGAACTACATGTAAGCATACATTGTGTAAATTCATATAAATGAGTCCTGTCAAAGGAAAACACTTCACTGCCAATGTTAGATCTACAGTTGAAACCTTTACAACGTACACGTAAGTGTGAGATTTGATGAGTGTTACAAACATTTGAAAATTCTAGAGGATTTGTATGTATTGAAGAATAGTTACAGGAGATTAACCTTTGCTCTCTTAATGTTCAAATGTGGCATTTTAGCTGCAACAATGAATACCAATCAAAATCACCACCCTCTCAAGATCCTTGTCTCAAGAGGGACAAGACTCTTGTAATGAGGAACGCAAAACTTGTCTCCCAAGGAGTTTTAAGAACTGTACACATGAGTAATAGCCTACTGTGAAGCAAACAAGCAGGAACAATAGCAAAGCAATATACCAC